CTCCTCTATAAAGGATCGAAACCATAGTATCTAGACCCCTTACTACTCCTCTATAAAGGATCGAATCCATAGTACCTAGACCCCTTATCTGCTCCTCTATAAAAGATCGAAACCATAGTATCTAGACCCCTTATCTCCTCTATAAAGGATCAATCCATAGTACCTAGACCCCTTACTGCTCCTCTATAAGCGATCGAAAATAGTATCTAGACCCTTATCTGCTCCTCTATAAAGGATCGAAACCATAGTATCTAGACCCCTTATCTGCTCCTCTATAAAAGGATCGAATCCATAGTACCTAGACCCCTTACCTGCTCCTCTATAAGCGATCGAAACCATAGTATCTTAGCCCCTTATCTGCTCCTCTATAAAGGATCGAAACCATAGTATCTAGACCCCTTACCTACTCCTCTATAAAGGATCAAACCATAGTACCTAGACCCCTTATCTGCTCCTCTAAAAGGATCGAAACCATAGTATCTAGACCCTTATCTGCTCCTCTATAAAGGATCGAAACCATAGTATCTAGACCCCTTATCTGCTCCTCTATAAAGGATCGAATCCATAGTACCTAGACCCCTTACCTGCTCCTCTATAAGCGATCGAAACCATAGTATCTAGACCCCTTATCTGCTCCTCTATAAGCGATCGAAACCATAGTACCTAGACCCCTTACCTGCTCCTCTATAAGCGATCGAAAAACCATAGTATCTAGACCCCTTACCTACTCCTCTATAAAGATCGAAACCATAGTATCTAGACCCCTTATCTGCTCCTCTATAAGCGATCGAACATAGTAGACCCTTACCGCTCCTTTATAAGCGATCGAAACCATAGTATCTAGACCCCTTACCTGCCCCTCTATAAGGGAACGAAACCATAGTATGAAAACCCCTCACCTCTATAAGGGATTGAAACCACAGTATCTAGATCCCTTATTGTCTCTTCTATAAGGGAACGAAGCCATATTATTAAGATCCCATACCTCTATAAGGGAACGAAACCATAATCCAAGACCCCTTACCTTCTCTATATGGGAACGAAATCATAATATTAAGACCTCTTACCTCTATAAGGGAAAGAAATCACAGTACCTGAACCCGGATCAAAACCATAGTATCCAGACTCCTTACCTTCTCCTCTATAAGGGAACGAAACCATAGTATCAAGACCTCTTACCTGCTCCTCAATAAGGGATCGACGCCCACTGTTGGTTCGTCGAGTATAAGGAGATCGGGTTCGTGCAGAAGGGCGGCCGCGAAACTCACTCTCCTCTGCTGTCCTCCGCTGTATGTCATGATACCGTTAGTATTTTGTATTATTAGTGCTATTTGTAGCGTTATTAGATCGTATTAGTGTTATATATAGCGTTAGTGCTTTGGATCATTGTGAGAATAGTGTATTAGCATTAGTGTAGCGATTTGTGAGTGTTTGTGTGGCGTATTTATATGTACATATGTAACATATGTGTATGTATGTATGTATGTATGTATAATATAGTATGTATGCAGGTCGCTGTCTGAGGATGTATTACGATAATAGATTGTTCATTTTATTTCATTTGAATATTTTTAATTTACGCTATTAATTAATGGGTTGATACTGAGTACCTTCCACGGTGTAAATGTGGCAAGCTAACCTGTGCGGACTTGTAAATATACTAGAAAAGAACATGCGGTTGTGGAAATAGTATTTTCAGTGTGAAAATAGAATGAAGACATTATATTCTAAATGTGTACAGTCAGTGGAACATTTAGACGGCGATACAAAATTAATATGACACTTTTTATGTGTAAAGCGTTGGATGGTATTTAGGTTAAGCAATCCTTATATCGAACAGGAACGACACATAAAGAATTATAATTAAAAATGATAATAATAATGGTCGGAAATGACTGATAATTAGTGGAACACCAGTACAAGAGAATTAATAAAAATCAGCAATTATTCTGGGGAAAATGGCAAAACATTTACCATAATTAATTCATTATGCCAAAAAAAAAAATATAAAGTAAGAAAAGAATTATATGAAAATTCAAAAGTAAATAATGAAAATTTAATAAAGTAAACAAAATTAAAATTCAATCAGTGCAATTAAAATCATAGTGAAACGTAATAATGAAATAAATTCAATCAGCATTTAAATAATACGGCTCCTTCTCACCTAAGCTGGTTAATGAGTCTCGTGGGGTCAGGTAAGTCTAAGAAGGATACGAGGAATTTCGTTCTTTTATCGATCATGGCTGAGGACATCTGGTGGATCCTGCCGAAGTAGCGAAGGGTCTCCACAATCGTGAATTCTTGGTAGAGGGCCAGTTCCTGTGTTGGAATGGTCGTGTTATTTGTGAATTTATTTATTCTGTTTTATTTTCCTTCTTCCTCTCTATGTGTCTGTATATATTCATCTATTTCTCTTTCTTCTCTGTCTCTGTCTCTGTCTCTCTCTCTCTCTCTCTTCCCTCTCTCTCTCTCTCTCTCTCTCTCTCTCTCTCTCTCTCTCTCTCTCTCTCTCTCTCTCTCTCTCTCTCTCTCTCTATCTCTCTCTTCTCTCTCTCTCTCTCTCTCCTCTCTCTCCTATCCCTCTCCACACACACACAAACATAAATAACTATACATTCTTCAAGGTATAGCTGCCTTATGAAAGAAGGAGAAAGGAAGCGTGCAATATCCAAGAAACGAAGGTGAATAACCCATTAAATTCAACATCAAAAGACAACATATGAAGACTGTACGCTAAGAAGAAAAGAAGAAGAAGAAGAGAAGAAGAAAAAGAAAAAAGAAAAAAAAGAAAAGAAAAGAAAAGAAAAGAAAAGAAAAGAAGAAAGAAGAGAAAAAAGAAGAAGAATTAAGAAAAAAAAAAGAAAGAATAAAGAAGAATAAGAAAAAGAAAAAAAAACAAAGAAGATGAGAAAAAAACTTACCTGTGCATGTACCCGACCCGATGCCCTGGGACAGCGGCACTGGGGGAGCCCGGTGGATACCCATACAGGAATATTTCCCCCTTGTCCAACCGCAGTCGATTCACAAGGCAACCCAAGAGCGTGGTTTTCCCGCAGCCACTCGGGCCTAAGAGACCATAGCTGGGGGGGGGAGGTCAAGGAGTAGGTTTCAATAACAAGTGAAGCAAGGCATGTACTTTATTATTATTATTATTTTTTTTATCTGTTTTCTTTATCTTATCTTTTGGTCCTGGTTAGAAAACGGGTATTTAATCCATTCTGTTAATTGATTGGGTTTGTATGTCGTTAGGCTGTTAAGATCCCTATTCAGAATTAGTAAGGTCCTTACTATTCATTTGGATTAATTTGCATTCTTACAAGTAAACAAGTGTTTCAAATCATTCTTTTAACATTCCCTTGTGTTGTCAAATATATTAGTCTTTTATTAATAGTAATTTGAATAATCGTAATTTGTTATACCAGTTTGGTTAATTTTATTCTAAATGACTTTTCCACCCAATAATCCTCGTCTAATTATACACAATGTATTTAATTCGTAAATTTAATGAGATACTAACATGGCTCCTTGTGGCACTCTCATCTCCAGACCTTCCAGCACTGGCACCTTGTTCTTGCGGGAGCCATAGGACTTGTAGCCTTGCTGCACCACCACGACATTCCCCTTTCCTAGGGGCCTGAGGGGAGAGAAAGAGAGGAGTGGAATGTGAAGGGAGAGGGGAAGGAGGGAAATAAAGGGGGAAGAGGAATAAAGGAGGAGTGAAGGTGTGAAGGAAGGAGGGGAGATGCAGAGGAAAGAACGAAGGAGGGGAGTGAAGAGAGAAGGAAAGGAAGAATTCGAAAGATATATATGGAGGAAGAAAAAATGGAAGGGGTGGATGAAGGGAAGTGGGGGAGGAAGGCAAAGATGTAAAGCTTGAAGACGAATGAAGGAACGTGAAAGGGAAGAGAAAGACAAAAACGATGAAAGAGGAATGAAAAGAGTCTTGATACGAGTTTGTCGGCCCGGTGCCAGGGTAGTCAGCGCCCCGGGCAACAATACCCCAGTCCGCGCCCTCCCCCCCCTTATATACCATTAAATGTAGATAAGGTTATTACACAAGCTTAATCGACGCTGGATATACCATAGTACGGACAGTTCTGTACTTCTCTCTACTTCTGAGGCTGTAATATACCCATAATATCGGAAGTTTTTGTGCTTCTCCCTCCTTCTGAGGCTGTAATATACCCCATAGTATCGACAGTTCTACTTCTTCCTCCTTCTGAGGCGTAATAATACCCATATAATCGGCAGTTCTTGTACTTCTCCCTCCTTCTGAGGCTGTAATATACCCATAATATCGGCAATTCTTCTACTTCTCTCTCCTTCTGAGGCTGTATATACCCCATAGTACCGACAGTTCTGTGTACTTCTCCCTCCTTCTGACTGCTGTAAATACCCCATAATATTCGCAGTTCTTCTACTTCTCTCTCCTTCTGAGGCTGTAATATATCCCATATAGTACCGACATTCTCTATGTACTTCTCTCTCCTTCTGAGGCTGTAATATACCCCCATAATATCGGCAGTTCTTGTACTTCTCTCTCCTTTTGAGGCTGTGAATATACCATTAATATCGGCAGTTCTTGTACTTCTCCCTCCTTCTGAGGCTGTAATATAACCCCATAATATCCGGCAGTTCTTACTTCTCCCTCCTTCTGAGGCTGTAATATACCCCATAATATCGGCATTCTTCTACTTCTCTCTCCTTCTGAGCTGTAATATACCCCATATATCGGCATCTTCTACTCTCTCTCCTTCTGAGGCTGTAATATACCCCCATAATATTCGGCAGTTTCTTTCTTCTCCCTCCTTCTGAGCTGTAATTATACCCCATAATATCGGCAGTTTTGTACTTCTCTCTCCTTCTGAGGCTGTAATATACCCCATAATATCGCGAGGCAATATACCCCATAATATCGGCAGTTCTTGTACTTCTCCTTCCTTTTGAGGCTTTAATAATACCCCATAATATCGGCAGTTCTTGTACTTCTCCCTCCTTCT